ACCAACCTATAGCTTATCACAAAATAAGTTGGTTGCATTTAAATAAAATATTTATAAAAATTAAGCAAATAAATTTATATATTAATTAAAACATTCAACATGAGTTATTATCTTATTTAGGAAGAATAAAGATTATCAAAAAATCAACATCACTATCAAAAAAAGATATTTTTTATTTTTAATATTAATACTTTTTATAAATTGAATTAAGCTAAGATCTATAAAAAAATAAATCTATAAATAATTTTATACACATTAAAGAAAAAATGAATAAAAGATTCTATTTTGAACTAGGTATACAATGTAATATCTTTTAGACTTACAAATGTATTAGTTGCTTTTCAACATTTTATGCATGATGTTTTTTGAAATTTTTTAGATGATTTAATTATGTATTATCTATAAAATATATTAAAATATTCTATAAATATAACAGAGTATGAACTTTATATTTTTTATATATTAAAAAAAATTTCAAGATACATAATTATAAGCTAAGATAAAAAAAAATGTAATTCATCCAATTTAAATTGAGTTCTTAAGATACATCATTTTAAATGATAGTCTTATGATTGATCCTAGGAAAGTTCAAACTATTATAGATTGAAAGATTTTAAGAACAATAAGAGATGTCTAATTTTTTTTAGAATTTTTAAATTATTATTTGATTTTTGTTTTAAAAAATTAATATTATAGCTCTATTTATATATTTGATTTGAAAAAAAAAAATTAATAGAATAAAGAAGGTAAAGCAATGTTTGAAGTTTTAAAAACAATTATTAAAACCTTCATATGTTATTATGTTGATTAAATTAACGCATTTTTTTTAGCATTTTTAGCATTCAAGAAATGTTTTAGTAGCTGAGATCAATTATAAGATCTATAACAAAGAATTTCTTGCAATCATATATTAATTTTTTAAATAGCACTATTATCTAAAAGATACTTTTAATCTAATAAATATTTATATTAATCACAAAATTTCAAGTATTTTATATCTATACTTATTTTAAATTATTATCAAATTCATTGAAGCATATTTTTGTCAAGCTTTGAATTCAAAATCAATTATTGATTAAAAATAATATGATTTGATAGATTCCATTTTTTTATATTTTTATCTTATTAAAAAAATAAAAATAAATACATTCAATTTTTGATCAACAACAAATAATTCTTTTGAAGCTAAAATAATTTCATCTTTGAGCTATAAAATTAAAATTGACTATTGAGTTAACTTTTCTTAAGTAGATTCAATCATATTTATCTTTAGATTCTTTTATTTGTAATATTAAGAAAAATCCTTTTAAATTTCATGATACTTCTAAGTTTGAGTTTAAAATCAATCTAATCTATTTTTAAAAATACTTATATGTTCTAGAAGGTGAAACTCAACTATATGCTCTTCAAATTTGTCACTATGTTTCAAGTACATAATATTTTGGCTACAACAAAATCTTAGATCTAATATCAAGAGATTTTAAATGGCCTCATATTAAAAAAGATAATTAGAGACTTTGTACAATTATGTAATATTTGTTTTAAATCAAAAATTTCTTTTCATTGAACTTATAGACTTTCTAACTACTACCTATATTAGAACAAATATGGTCTTCTATTGCAATAGATTTGATTGCTAATCTTATAATTTCAAGTTCATATGATTTTATAGTTGTGAAAGAAGATTATTTTGTAAAGATGGCACATTTTATATTATATAAAAACTATCATATGTGAAGAAATAGCTAAAATTTTCTTTGACAATGTTTATTGCTTACCAAGAGGAATTACATTACACAAAAAAAACTTAATTTGTATCTAGGTTTAAAAGAACCATTTTAAGATATTGAATGTAGATATAAAACTATCTTTGGTTTTTTATCCTCAAATTGATGGATAAATAAAATGGATGAATTAATTTTTATAGTGGTATTTAAGATGTACCATCAACAACCATCAAAATAATTGGATAATTCTTTTGCCATTAACAAAGTTTATTTATAATAAAATGATACATTCTTTTATTCAATAAATATTTTTTTATATTAATTATGGTTATCATCTATAACTTAATAATTTTAACTTCTCATAAGTTAATAATCTTATAACAAAAGATTTGATAAATTGCTTATTGAAGATACATATAACAATGAAAGAATAGTTAAAGAAAATTCAAGAACAACAAAAGATCAAAGCAGATGCTTATTGCAAGGAATAATTTCAATTCAACATTGGTAATAATATATAATTACTTTTTTATAATATCAAGACTATTTAATTTTGTGACAAGTTGGATTATCATAGAATTAAAAAAAAAAAAAAAAAAAAAAAAAAAAAAAAAAACCTTTTTCCTTTTTCCTTTTTTTTGTGAATAGATCAATCCAATTGCTTATTGATTGTACCTACTAGAGTCTATGAAGCTCCATTCCATATTCCATAGGTCTCTTTTTAAGCTATATAAGTCAATAGATATATTAAAAAAAGACAAATATCACCTCTCCCCCTAGAAGTGAACAATGATAAAAAATTTGATATTAAACAAATTTTAGATTCAAGATAGTGCTAAAATAGGTTTGAATATCTTACTTATTGGTACAAATATGATAAACACATATGGGAGCCCACTAAAAATCTTACAAATGCAACAAAGAAGGTTGATGCTTTTTATCAATATTCATCAAAATCAAGGTAAATAATCAAGTAATTTTTGCTATAAATAAATGATCAATAAAAATTATATTCTATCTTTTATTATTGTTTATGGTTTTTATATATTTGTAGCACTAAAGAGATAGAAAATTAACAACCAAAAATTTCAACTCACAATCTATTGTTTGTTGAGTTATTGCACAATACATTGAAATTGTCATAGTCTTCAAGACAACATAATAGAGATGAAGATTGTAAAGAATGACATATTTTTTCTTAAATAGATGATAAGATATAATGTATTTGATATCACAACCTTAGAAGAGACTCACAATGTTTGGTAATACTATTTGAGGTAGGAACCACCTTTAACAATATTTCAAATATTTTATTTGAAAGAAGTAATAAAGGCTTCAACAATAATCAAATAATATGGCAATTTTTACACCTTTGTATAGAACACTATAAATGATTAAAAAGACCTATCAACAACCTTCAAATGGATTAAAGATCAAAGTATGTGATAAATATAATTTGTTGTATCTTAGACTTTCTCAACATGTAAGCATTGCTCTTTGTAAAATTCATCTTTATAAAGAGGGGAGTAATGTTATAGACGTATATATTTATTTAGATTAAAGAATTTAGATGGAAGTAAATAGAAATAAATATATTTGTTGATATCTTATAGAAAGTTTTTTTAGAAGCTTCTTAATTTTAGATTTTATTTTTTATATATTTGTAGGTGATTTATAGGTTCAAAACTTAGGCAATAAGTTAGCCACATGTTGTACATGTTTGTGACTTATGGAACAAGTTAGCTATGTGGCACACATGTAAGAAACTTATCTTATAAGTTACACACAAGTCCCACAAGTTGAACATATGTAGGAGGTCCTATAGAATGTCACTATATAATTCTTGCTTAGATAGTATATATGGAGGTAAAAATGAGGTCTTTTTTCACTCTTGTCAATTCTTTTTTTTATTCTTAGTCTTAGTTCAAGAATCTCTAGTTTTCTAGTCTTTAACAATAGCCATTCTAATTCTAATATTATACTATCTTTGAGTAAATATTTATTTTCTTCAAGTGATACAAGAGGGTATTGACATTTTGATTGTTTGTGATTCATGTCTTTAATAAGACAAGGTCTTTAATAGAAGGCATTCTTTTACCAAGCTAAAGACTTTATAAGGCTTTTAAACCATGGCTTTTCAAAGTGAGCTTGTAAGTTTTAACTACCTCTAAATCTATATATGTCAAAGAGCTGAGTTTAAATGATTGAATGATTTTTTATTTTTTTTTATTTTTTTTCTAATTTTCCAAAAGTTAGGATCTTTAATTGAAGTTTAAAATTGTGAGCTATTACAATAAGACATTGGCTCTCTGACAAAAGATATAAGTTCAAATATGCAATAAAAGATCTTCTTTTTTAGCAAGAGATTAAAAAATAACGCAAAAGAAGCTATAAAATGAAGATCTAATAATAAAAAATAAATTAAATATATATATCTATAGAAATTCAATTTAAATATTTTTGTATGTTTTTTATTGACACAATATAAAATACATTAATATTTTGAACCAATAAAATTTTAAAAAATTGTAGAAAAAAAAATCCTAAAAAGTTTCACTTATTAAACTACCTTCAAAGATCCATTCTAAACTGAAAATAATTACCATTATCTTGCACACTACTTCAAACATGCAACAAAGATACAAATCTAAAGTAAAGAAGGAGTATTAAAGAGAGTTTATTGGAAGCCATCATGGTGTGTTGCACCACTAAGAATTCAATTGTAGGCTCACATTCACATCTAGTTTAAGCCATTAACATTCAAAACTTTTATTACAATTCATATTATAATATATTCTTATTTTTCATATTAGACATGTTTAACAAAATATATAAATAATTAAATTTTCCTTGAAATAAACTCCTACATTGGTAAAGCTCAACAATGTTTCCAAATAAATCAGCATGTTTTTATTTATTTATTAAGATTTTTTCTTGTTCTTTTCTTGCTCAAGCTTGATAGTATTCCCCAATTAACTGGGAAACCTTTCTTTTAAACAAATTATTGTACTTATGTAGTCGTCCAAATTTCAATTTTACTATGGCATTTACAACGACGGAGAAAACTCCATATAAAATCACCCAAGGAAATGCAACCTCGATGAGAATGATGGCTACAGATTTGCACGATGATTAGACTCCACTAACCAGGGATACACACAGCTGGCAAATGGAAAACTTCATAGGATTTTCCTACTAAGAGTTTTTCACTAAGATTCAGAAGCTAGGGGAAGAAGGGAGAAGATCAACATCCACAAGTGAGAGAGAGAGAACTATTCAAAGTGGAAAGCGTAGAGTGTTCCGTCTTATACAAAGAATGGAGACGTACCGACTGCGAGGGGTGTCTCAGAAAGAATACATAAATAGTAATGTATATTGAAGCCTAGAGATGGCTTCCAACAAAGGAGTCTCTTCTAAGCTAATGTTGAAGGAGACATATTGTAAGCTTTTAACTACAAATGGGAAGTTTACAGTAGATGTTTGTGACAACTGACTTATTCGAGGCTAACGAGATTACCTATACAAGCACTTGTACCTTGCGAAATGATAGAGATTCCAAGTGCACGAAAACCTCCAACTGCTCCACACTGGAGAATGTTTCTGTGACACCTACAAACGACTGTTCAGATGATCCAAACCCACCCGAGTAGCGAGCCTGAGCATAGGCCGGTGGCTAGAAAAAGGGTCATGATGATGCCTGCGGTCTCTGCCTCAAGTATAGAGACATTCTTCGGCGCCACGATCATTACAACGCTAGTCAAATAGCCGTTCGACAGCCCCAGCAAGAATGTCAAAAGAAACACGGGAGCTTCTGTGCGGAAAATTGCTGGTCCGTGTATAATTGCGTAGAACAAAGGGATAAAGATGATCCTTCCGAAGCAAGCCCTGACCATGAAGCTTTGATTCTCCAACATGTACACGCTGGTGAGGATCTTCCCGGTCAGGTCCCCACTGTTGTAAGTTGCAATGAGCAACACAGGGTACCAGTCCCCAAAGAAGGCTGAATGCACGTCTTCGGAGATATATCCAGGGAAGATGGTCAAGGTAATTACATACAACATTGCCACCGAGATTGCTAACCACTGGATTTGACTCCACACGTGCCAGTAGCTAACAGGTTTAGCAAAATTGGTCAGCTCTGAATCTAAAGTCGTGACGAGGGAAATCTCGGTTGTGTCCATTTTCAAACCCAATTCACTGACGTTGCGAGGTCCACCTGTTGATAGGGTAGATTCCATTGCTCCGATCTTCATGCTGTTGTAATGTAGCATAATAGGCAGCTTATAAACTAGGTTGTAGGAGAAGAGACAGATTAGCAGAAATATACCGGTCACAATGAAGTACACATCCGCACTCAACCTCAACCCTCTGACTGTCTGAGACATTGAGGCCTTTGTTATAACTCGTAGAAGGGATGCAAGCACACCTGTCACATGGAACAACACATTACGATTAAGTGTTTGGGTGAATGCAAAACCATCTATGAAGCCGCAAGCAGTTGATAGTTTTGCACTATCACCACCAAGAAACTGCGGAGCGTGTCAATCTGACAAGAATGACATGCTAGCAGAACATTATTATTTGCCAGCTTCACGGTACAAATCTATTGTAAAAAGAAATAATCGGACAATCTGAATGAACTACGAAACCGGATTCGTCCACAGCGTCGGTGATACTGGGAATTCCCGATCTTCAAAATAGGACTCAGCATTCGCTAACCACTTCAAGCTACACGAATATCTACTCCCAACCTGGTTTCATATGGCGGACTTAAATATCAAAGACGGCGTTCCATCAAACACAATCTCTGCAAACACTAATAATGAGGATAACACCACTCCCCGTTACGTCAATGACTTGTTCTCAGAGAACGATTGCTTGAAACAAATTTAAAAAAATCGCGCCTGCAGGTAGAGATTGATTCATACCTGAGGCAGCTGTCCCTGCAAATAAAGCCTGCATGTAGCGCTCCGGAAGCTCGCCCGCTGCTCCCACAAGACTTCCTTGCACTAGAGCATCACAAAGACCAAGCACACACGCTGCTGCGACTGTCATGACATGCGTCGTCTTAGTGCCTTTGCTGCCAGTGATCCACACCTCATCCATAACAGGCACTAATATGAAAACGGCGAGGAAGACAAACAAGCCAGTGTTGATTCGAAGTCGCGACGAATACTTCTGGCCGTAGAAAGTGAGAATCAGCAAGAAGGTGAAACAAGGGACCATATAAGCGAGAGAAAACACTCGGTCCACGTGGGAGTTTGGGTATAATACATCGAAATAGTCTACAGCACTGATAAACGAATTCCATGGCAGAAGGAAGCCGGCGCCGAGAATGAAGAAAATGATGTACGCTATGTTGTAGTCATCCTTGGGCACTGCCGCGGCAGTCAAGGGTTGGCTCGCTTCCCTGTCAGCTTCCCCATGATCTCCCACCCACCCCATCTTGGCCAATGCTAGCTCCACTTGCTTCTTCGACGAATAAATTTGCGCTATGTTAGGGTAATCTGTGTTGCCTGTCGATTGTTACTGGCGGTCACAATGCTCCACCACAAACCCAAAAGGACCTTCACGAAACTGACGCAATCGACCAGCAAGAGCACACCCTTGATGCCTCGTCCTCCTCCGCTTTGACTACCTGCCCGTTACACTACCACGCGACAACCTATCAAGCTTGAAACAAAAATAAATCGACACCCCTCTTCACGAGAAAATTCTCAGCGAAGGAATGTATAGTTCTCTCAATCAAACCTTCCACCAACACATCAACCCAAATCCACGAGATTAAAAATTCCTACAACCAAAAAAATGAGAACAACGGCGCATCAAACACGCATACTCTTCACAATTTCTTTTGGAAAACCCCCAATTCCAGTCTGAACCCAATTCCTCCGAACCTATGAGCCCTAGCCACAATGCCGAGACTCTGCAATCCCGCAACAATCGCATCACCTACATGAAACCAAGGAATGGGTACCACAACAAATAACGTGCACAACTGCTCCGCACATGTCAATGCTGCCGCTTGCCGTGTCCTGGTCGCAACGACCTTGTGTCTCCCCAATCCACGTTCACTCAGCCGCAGAGCATCTTGATTCCTCACACTCCCAGTCCTCCTTCACGACAAACTTGCAGATCACGTCGATCTAACATTCCGGCGGTTTAACCCCAAAGCGCTTCCTAACGCACTTTGAACTTAAGACCCTCCCCTGCTCATCTTTATCTTCCTATTCTAATTCTTTCCTTTCCTTTCATCTTCTGTAAAAACGAACCTACACTGTTCATTTTTGCCATAAAACTAATCCATTGTCCATGTCTCTGTCGAAGTTAGACAGTTTGTTTTCCAAATTTCTTTGTCTTCAACACTTCCTTTATCCATTCTCTCTGGGCCTCGCGCCAGCAGAGAAAGACTCCAAGGCCTGCAACCCAGTGGCCCCACCTTGGCGCCATGAGAGCACCGGCTTTGCAACCGTGCTCCAACTTGGCCCGCAATAGCAAACCCTGTTAATAACACACATAAACAATGGCGTGAAGCAATCGTCTCAATCCAATATCGTGGACTCTTGTCCAGATCGGAACAGTGTCTTCGTCTTCTGCACCTTATCCTTCAACGATTCTGTCACGAGCATCACATCGTTTGCATCATCTAGTCGAAAGGCGCTGCTCTAATGCGCGATTAACATCTCATGCCCAGCCACCGATCGTTGGTCAAGCACGTTTGTGATTTGCCGATGGCCTCGCTATACGGTTCGCATTGATGAGGGCTGTCTGAGGAACAATATGTATGAAGTACTATGTGTGAAGTAGTATCTCAAAATAGTCTTAAAATTATTCTATTAACATATTTTATTTACTCAGAATCATTCAGGGCCAAACCTACCACCTCAGTGAGATGTACTACTTACGTACCACATTGTTGGGATTTTTGGAATTAGTGATTGTTTCAAAGAATACATTTTTATTTGTTTATAACATGATTATGTTCCATGCATATTTCCCACTTGCTAGCCTCAAGTTTGGAGGTAGTGGATATGTAGTTGGTAAGAGATACATGCATCTATCATAATCTCAATCTTAAGAATATGTAAATATTTTCATTTTTTTAGATAGTTTTCATTTGTCTAGCTAGTTTAGAGATCGTTTTGTAAAATTTTATAATACAAACTCTTTTTCTTTTTATTTTACTTGATTCTTGAAAAGACTTGTCAATCAATACAAGTGTAAAAACCTTGTTCCATAAATTTGGATCATGTTGTATATGTTTACAGACAAAAAGAACTAATATAAAACATAGTTATAAAAATGTAATAAAGCATTTTTTTTTATATTATAATTAGATCCATAATATTAAAAATTTAGATAAACAACTTTTTTTTATTAAGTGAATATTCTCCAATGCTACACACAATTGCATATATATAATAAATATCATTGTTATATCATTATTTTTCTCTTACAAACAAAACAAAATATAGTAAATTAACAAATAGTACACACAACAAGAAATGCTAATAGCATGGTCTTTCTTCTCTTCTTAGACACTCAAAAGAAATCTTTTGTATTTGAATTGGTTGAAGATGGGAAAAAAAAGAGTTGAGAGTGTAGAAAAATTGGATTCAATAAACACAATTATCCATAATTATAAAAAAAAAAAACAAAGTTGTGAACTATAAAATAATAATATGATAATAGTATTACTTAATATGTACATGTGGGCATGGCACAAAGAAATATCCACACAATAAAAAGAAGATATATACCTAACAATTTTCTAAAAATAATACAATATAATCATTACAATTTTAAAAATATTTACATTTTATCAACAATTTGTTTCTAAATTTTAGATCTTAAAAAATTCTAACTTTATACAACAACAAAAAGAATCTATTATACTCCGTAGAAAACTACTTTATATTTAGCAATTACATTTATCTTCATAGTCAATTTTTTAAATTCTGATGTTTTAAAAATAGACTACTTTGTGTTTTTTAACTTTTACAAATCATCTCTTGTGATATTAAAAAGTATGTTTTTTTAAGCACAAGCCTTAATTATAATTTCTTGCATTGATATCTATTCATATACACATATTTTTTTACCAATTAAAACCCTCTCTTAGTTCTTAAGAAATACAAACTCGTGAAAAATAGACTCAAAAACACATATATCTGAATTTTTCATCAATCAATGATGTTTTCTCTAATACATATTGTTATACGTTGAAGACATTTAAAAAAGCTACACATTTTTCATGAAATGCTCACCATGAAGGGATATCTGGTTGCCAGCCTATCTGCAGGAGCAGCATCTTGAGGTTGCCTTTATGTCAGCTGCAACTTGAGATACTGCTGTGGGTATCAAGCTCAAAAGCGTCACTTGGGTCTTGTTTCCATAATTGATTCCACGGCCCAGTTGATTGGAGTATCTCCTTCCTGGGAAAGTTTCAGTTCTCAGGTTAGTGATATGCTATTATCATGAAAAAGTCGATTAGTTGAGGAATGCAACACTCGAAGCGGTTTAAGTGTTTTCAGGACAGTACTGTGCTGACCTTAATTCCTATTGCAATGGCTGCCCGCGTGCCTAATACTTCTCCCAGTTTCAGAGAGCCGCTCCCATCGCCACCGCTAACGGGTAGAATTACCACCCCTCGGCTGGCACATAAGGCGCCTAGATGAGCTACGAGTGCTTTAGGCTGCACATCTGCTGCCACAATGACTGCCTGCACATGACAACCTTCTCGTCAATGAAAGCACACACACAAACACAAAAGACCATTCAATTGTTGCAAGTTCTGGGTGATGCTTCACAACAAAGCGAAAGCAGCAAGATTAGCAAGATATAGTAATTTCAGACCTGTAACCGTGTGACGTTGGAACTTTTAGGGTGCAGCTGCTGAGCTGAAGTGCCCAGTTTTGTAACTGTGTTATCAACAGTCTTGGAGCGTTTGGGCTGCGATTCTCCTTCTGATGCACCCGCAGGCTTAGCAGGCATCCTTTCCAATGTACGTGTCACGTTGTTGATCCCGACGCAAAGATTGGCCTGTAATCACCACAAATGCTCGCATAATTCAAAGGCATTTCCTAAACGCGCATTGCAAGGAAGAAACGCCTTTATGGTGTTCGGCGTTCTATTCGCAGAGGAAAGCTCTAAGGGTTTATCTTTGAGCAGAAAATAACTAAACCCTAAACCCTAAATCCAAAAACCACACAAATTAACACACTAACTATCAACCGATTCACAAGAGCAAAGATACTGCGCAATGATGTGAACTAGAAGGTAAGATTCAGCATTCCAAGCGTTGTTCGAATTCAGTGAAGATTGTGATGACTTCAGCTCATCAATTTCCTCTAATCCACTTGCGAGTGACGAGAATACCTTAAGCACCTTTGGAAGACATTTTTTGCTTCCTTCTTTGACTTCGCTGCGGCTTATTTCTCCCGCTTGATTCTCTACCACAATCTCGATGGCACTGTTCCATTTGCAGGGAGAAGATCAGAACGAACGCTTCAGTCGACCACATTACACGAAACCTCAGTACAATTCGTCGTTCAACAGAGTGGAAATCCTGGCATGGTGCTACTGATTCCTCACAAGAACCCACGAAGGATTACGATTCCACAAAACCAACCACGTACAGCCAACATATGCTGACCTAAAACAAGGCAACAAGTTTTGAGGACGTAAAAACACAAAATGAGAGGAGGGGATGAGAAGACTTCGCGAGCTCGCGAAGAAGAAGCTCAAGATGTTTCCCCGACCACGGCCTCTTCAATCCACCTCCGCCGGCTTTCTCCATCAAGCCGATCCCACCCACAAATCGATACACACAGAATGAATTACACAGCGACTCGGCGACGAGTTGCAATCATCTCATCAAGCATGGTGCGCATGACGAGATTACTTCTGATTATGATTTTCACGATTGCTCTTCCACCATGACGAAAATCCTTCGACGCTGAGGTTCAACGCACTTGTCAGGAATCCAGTAAAACAACCCACAAATTGCAGGAAACGAAGTAGAAAACGTCGAATCTTGAAGCCAGGCCTCTTTTGAAAACGAAAAAGTGAAAGCTGAGTTGGTCGATGGAAAAGTGTTGTGGCGTAAAGGAGGTGACGAACAACACATATTCGATTTATTTTCATGACTCATTTTGTCAAGTAGTTTGTCACATGCTTTTAGCATTACTGGGGAAGTTTTATTTTTAATTTATTTGTTGGGGGGGGGGACTGGGGTCCAAGACATACACGTGATCTGAATTTATTTTAAATAAGTTGGGAGACTAGGCCATAATCCTTATTGAGATGAGTAAGAACATCATTGAAAAAGTAGGCTAGTTCTCTAGTCTCATATTTTTAAAGTTACTATAGTACATTTGTAATTTTTATAGAGTTTTTTTGGGGATTCTAGAAATACACATTAAAAAAAAATCTATTTATTTCAAGACTTATGTTTTGTGTGCATCTATTGTTATATCTTTGTGCCATATCACCCAAATTAAAGTTTTTTTCTTTTCTTTTCTTTTCTTTTCTTTGATAAATAAATACATACATTTATATTTATGTATATATATAATAGACTTGGTTTTATTCTAAAATAACTATGATTTCAAATATTTATATATATATATATATATATATATATTTTTTGAAGAGTAGAAGGAAATATTTAATAAATTATTTTATTATTTTTAGTATTATGAACCATGTATATTTTGTAGAGATCATATGCATTAGCTTTTTATAGAATAAGATTTTTTCATAAAAAATATTTGAAAAATAAAAATTCTACAAATAAAAATAAAAATATTTAGAATTTTATCATATAAATTCTTTGTCATAACTTTAGCACTTTATAAATCTTGTATTAGTCCTTAGATTATATGATAAATAATGAAGTGGTTCTAGTCATTTAATATTTGTCTTAGCTCCATTCTTAAATTATTTGATTAATTGAAATTACGCTATTGTGAATGTTAATATATGAAAAGGTTAAAATAATGAAAAAATTAATTAACAAAATTGTAAGGACTATTTTTAGATTATTTGAGACAAAATCATGTAGTGAGTATAAATCTTGTGATATTTTTTAAAAATATTATGTATCTTTTATATTATTTATTCTAATAAGATAGTATTAAGGATAAATATTTCAAATAATAAAAACCTCAATACACTCTTGTGTTACTTAAAAAGAATAGATATTCACATAAAGATAGTAAAATAATAGAACTAGAATGGATATTGCTAAAGACCAGAAGACTAAAAACTCTTGAAACAAGACTAAGAATAAGAAAGGCTTTAACAAGAGTAAAGAAGGCTTTATCCTTACTACCATTTTTACTATATAACTAAGAGCTATGTGGAAACATTTTATAAGACCTCTAATATATGTCCAATTTGTAAGACTCGTGTCTAATTTGTAAGACAAGTTTCCTATATGTGAGCCATATGACTAACTTGTATCACAAGTTGCAAACATGTGGAACATATGGCCAATATGTTGGCCAAATTTTTAACTTACCAATCAACTATAAATATATATAAAGAAAAATCCAAATCTATAAATCTTCTAAAAAAACTTTTTTTTGAAATATTATCAAATCTATCTTTCTTTACCTTCTATCTAATACTTCTTATTTATGTAATTATATATGTTTGTGACATAATCTTCTTTTTTAAATACAAGTTCTATAAAAAATAAATCACATAATTTATTTCAATAGATGGTTCCTACTTCTAATAATATTACCAAATATCAAGATTTTTTTTAAATTTGTAATATTAAATATATTTAATCTCACTATCTATTCAAAGAATAAAATTTTAATCTTAAAGATCTTTATTTCTATTACGTTGTCTTAGATGTGACAATATTAATATAATATTCAATAATTTATTAAACAATAGCTCTTAAGTAGAATTTGTTGGTTGTTTTCAAAGATATGAACTTCAAAGAACTAAAAGATCAATATACTCTTGTTTCACTCAAAAAGACTAAGAAATCACTCCAAGATGGTGAAATATTGAACTAGAATAGCTATTATCAAAGACTAAAAGATTAAAAAGTCTTGAAACAAGACTAAGAACTAGAAAGGCATTGATAAAAGTGAAAAAGACTTCACTCTTGCCTCTATATATTCTCTAACTTGGAGTTACGTGATAATATTCTATAAGACGTTCAACATGTGTTGACTTTACTCAACACATGTCTTAATTTGTAAGATAAGTTATTTATAAATGCGCTACATAATTAGCTTGTTCTACAAACTATTAATATGTGTGACATATGGCTAACTTGTTAACAAAAAATTTAGCTTATTAATTAACTACAAACATATCTAAAATCAAAGTAATATCTATAAAGCTTTTAAGAAGCTTCTCCAAAAGATATTATGAAATTATTATACTTTCATCTACTTCTATCTAATTATATAGGTAATTATTGGAGTAAATACATATATTCATGATATTACTCTCCTCTTTTTAGAAATGAATTATACAAGGAGCAATCATAATCTTTCATGGAGCTTGCTATACTTCATCTTGATTTTGATAGATGGCATCATTGAAAAGCTTGATCCCTCTTTGCTACATTTGCAAGATTTTTTGTTGGATTGCATGTACATTCACTAATATCATATCTATACTAATGAACAAGATATTCTAACTTATTTCACCACCATCTTCAATCTAAGATTTCTTCTACTTCAAATTCTTAATTATTATCTACTTCTATAGGACAAAATAGCATTTGACTTCTTTACAAGATATTTATTATTTTACATGGCTTAAGAAGAAATACATAGAATACATGATGGATTTTCATAGATTTTTATAGATCTAATTAATAAGCAATAAGATTGATTTATTTACAAATAAAAAAAATCCAAATCTGCGATAGTCCAACTTGTCACAATGATGAGTACTTTTGATATTGCGATGAAATAGCCATACCTTATACCTACAATGAATTGTAGTTATTCTTTATTATAGGCATTTGAGTTGATTTTTTGTTGTTCATGAGTTTCTTTTAACTACACCTTTATTGTTGCATGTAGTTCTGACAAATGATTTGCCAAATCTTTTGTTGTATGATTATCAATTTTTGAAAAGTAAAAAATATTAAATAATGGATAATAATCATAACTAGCAAAAAAAAGAATTTTTTGAGTAAAAAAATGTATTGAATTATTATATGAAAATTCTACCAATGGCAAAAGAGTTGTCCAATTATCTTGACGATACTTGATATTATACCTCAAATATTGATTTAGAAGTTGATTCATTTGTTTTTTTTTGTCTATCAACTTGAGGATAAAAAATCAAAGAAAATTTTATATTGACTTTTAAAAGGGTTCTCTAAAATCTTAATACAAATTGAATTATCCTATCTAATATAATATCTTTGGGTTATATATAATAGTGATAGATATTTTCAAGAAAAAACTTAGTTATTTTTATTTTTATTTTTTTCTTTTAACCTACAATAGATTTTGTACATGATATAAAATGTACCATCTTAGTAAAATGATCTAATATCTTAAATATAGAATCATACAAACTTGAGACTGAAAGATCAAAGATAAAATGCATTGAAATAAAAGACTGTGGTTGTTCCAAAATAAGTAATGGCTGAAGAAGTCCATAAGTTCAATAACAAGGAGTTTTTTTTATCTTAAACAAATGTTACATGATTATACAAAGTTTTTTTTACAGCCTACTATATTTGTGGCCACTAAAAATCTTTCAATATTAATTCCAAAGTCTTATTATATCAAAAATATTATATTGTTAAAAAGTTGTGACATGCTTGAAGAATATGTAAACATACTTTTTATTTTGAAATATATAAGTAATCTTTAAAATAGAGTAGGTTTTTTTTAGACTCTAACTTAGAAGTATCATAAGATTTAAAAGAAATATTTTTAATATCACACAAGAAAATCAAATGACATACTTGATTGGATTTTTTTGAAAAAGATTGAATCAATAATCATTATTGATTCAATTGATTGAAGATTAAAATACTTTGACATCAAGAAACCATTTTTTATTGTTCAAAAGATGTATCATTTTTTTTTGGTGTAAGATAAGAATACTTCAAATGGATACTTGAAAAAACTTGTTATTTTTTGAGCCAATAAGTAATCTTAAAATCAAGTCTTAATAAAGACATGCTCCAACAAGCTTGGCAACAATTCAAAATATGTATCAACATCAAGTACTCAAGATTCTTGTGATTCATATATTCAATGATTGAACATAAGGCGCCTTTCAAATCATGACACCATTCTTGAATTGAATCTATAATTGCAAGTTCTTTATTATGGATCTCATAGTTAATTTTGGTTGCTAAAAATTTCTTAAAATAAAAAAATATTGGGTGGAGCTTATTATTTTCTTCTATTTGTGACAAAATTATATCCATAGCAAAGTCAAATGCATTTGTTTCTATGAAGAATGCTATGAAAAAATTGACACAATACAAGATTAGAGCAAAAATAAATATTGTCTTTAACACTTCAAAAGATGCTTTAGCTTCATTGTTTTACTCAAGTTTGTCTTTACATGTTAGATATGTAAGAAGAGTTGCTACTTGAGCAAAGTTTTTGATGAAGATTTAATAATAATTGGCAAATATCAAAAAACATTGTACATCTCTAATTATTTTTGAGATCTTCCAATCTATGATAGTCTAGACCTTTTTAGAATCCACCTTAAGGCCATCGTTTAAGATGATGTATCCTAAGAAGTCAACTTGAGTAGTGTGAAATACACTTTTCAATCTTCGCATATAATCCTACATCTTTTAATTTTTGTAACGCATGACAAATATAAATTTCATGCTCTTCTATATTTTTAGAATAGATTAAGATATTATGTAAATAATAAATGACAAAATTATCAAGAAACGTCCAAAAAATATCATTTATTAGATGTTGAAAAGTAACTAATATATTTTTGAATCTAAATGGCATGATAATATATATAAAATGTCTATACCTATTTTGAAACATAATTTTTCA